GAAGAAAGAGAAGATGGAGGAAGAAAGAGAGAGAGAGAGACAAGGGGAGGAAGGAAGAAATCAAGGATGAAGGAGGGAGGAGAGAAAGAAGAGTAATGGTGAGTCATAATTATAGGAACAGCCAGCATCTTCATATATATTCCTGGCTTTTCTTGTGGTGTCCCCTCCTGATTCTTCTCATTAGGCACCATGAGCTGGGGAGGGTGAGGGTGGGAACACATCAGGGATAGAATGTTCTGCACATGAAATCAGAGCTGCTACGTGCAATTCTGCTCTGGTGTTGGGGGGATTTTTTCAGTTTACTGGTGACCTCCACACCATCCCCAGGATACCACCATGCCACTGTCCCTTCCTCTAGACCACTGGCCTCTACATTCATCTTCCTTTTGGCCCATGGAAAAATATCTTCTATTCCTTGTGACCATTTCTACTAAGAGATTTTCTATGAGAGTTCTTTCACCTGTGCTCTCTGTCTCAGAACACCTAGGCACTGGAGGGGGTGCATGTGCTGAATCCAGAAACATCAAAAACAATGTCTTGCTGAACCTAGAACCAACTACTGGACCTGCTTCACCACCACCCCCACCCCCACCCCCACCCCCGAGGCTCACACTGGTCCCTCTGACAGAATCCTTCTACTCCTGGTGAGTTTTCTTAGTGATCCTATTGTGTTCATCCCTCTTCGGGGCTTTGGGCAGTCCACTCACAGATCTGTGTATGACTGAACCCTAATCAAAGTCTTGGTCCTCCTGTCTTCCTGCACTCTGGGGGTTCTCATAGGTAGGGAAAATCAAGGGAAATAGTTGAGCTGTGCTTCAGTACCTGAGAGTCAGGAAGCCATTGATTCCAGAACTCAGAGGACTGCTAGGGTCAATTTAGCCAAATGCCACATACCAGCCCACCTAAGTCTCAGCTCTACTCTGGCCAAAATGCCATTACACTTTCCCACAGTATGTGTTTGCAGACTCTTCAAAGATCTCCACTGTCTTCCAACCATCTCTTCTAGACAGATAAAGAAATGCATAGACTTGGCAGAGACATTGGGACACTTCTCTGGGCTCAGCTCCCAAGGACAAATCCTCTCCCCTCACACCTGGGGTCATATAGATGAATCTGGACATGGGATGCAGGTTTCTCAGATCATCTCTGCTAATCGCTGCTCTTTCTGTCAAGTTCCCTAACCTGCAACTGCTCCTGCCCCTGAAAGGAGACTTTCTCTCCATCTTTGGTGCATATGGGAGGCCTCATTCTTCAGGTTCAAAGACCATTCATTGTCTATGATGAGATAGAACCTGGGGGAAGGGGAGGGGAGAGGACATGATGGAGGCCAAGGTAGAGGAAGGAGAGAGGAGAAAGATGATAAATGCAGAGAGAGATGAGGATGTCCTCACTTATTTTCCCTTTCTCCCTCTTCTTCCTCCCTTTTTTCTTTCTGTCCTCTCTTACACCAACTCCCACCTCTCTCCTCTCCCTCTGTTTTAAAATGTAGGTTTTATTATTTAAGTATGGTGAGGCCAACAGATCAGGAGATGATTGGCATTGAAAAACTAGTTTGTTACTCACAGTTCCCAAGAGGAGTGCTATACCATGACATGCAAGGTCACATGGGGAATATCTCCAGAGTCTGTCAGGAGACAGAGAGAATAAGGGGAAAGCATGTGTAAAAGCCTTTATTGTTGCTTTCATGGAAAGGAATGGTGAGGCAAGGTAATCAGGCTTAGGATGGGCTAGTTTGAATAATTTCAGTGGGCTCTGGGATGTAGTGGCTGTCCTGAGTTGTCTGGTTGAATAGGTGGGTGGAAAAAGGCATTGAAAAAATAGTTTGTTACTATTAATAGCATTTAGTAAGAATTACTCAGACCTCGAGACCTTCGTCCTATCTAATAGCTTTGGGTTTGTTTTGTCTTCTTTTTCTAGTTCTTTATGTTGTAAAGTGAGGTTATTGATTTGAGATCTTTCCAGTTTGTAAATATAAGCATTTACAGCTATAAATTTACCCCTTAGCACTGCTTTCTCTGTGTCCCATAAGTTTGGTACATTGTGTTTTCATCATCGTTCATCTCTAAGTATTTTCTTAGAGATCTCTTGTGATTTCTTCTTGATCCATTTGCTGTTTAAGAATGTTGTTTAAAAGAAAAAAAGTATGTAATTACATTTATACAGCCCCCCTTTGCTAGACTGTTAACATCATGTGGCTAGAGAATGTCTGTTTTTGAATCACCAACATATTTCTAACACCACGCATTGGACGTGGCATGAAATATGTGCTCAAGCCAGAGTGGTTAAATAAATAAATGAATAGCTCTAATTGCCAAAAAAAATCCATTGCTTAATTTTCACAAATTTATGAATCTTCCAATTTTCCTTTTGTTATTTATTTCTAACTTCATCTCATTGTTGTCAGAAAAGATATTTTGTATGATATCTTTTAAAATCTAATGAAATTAATTTCCAAATATATACCTAATATTTCATCTATCCTGGAAGACGTCCCATATGCACTTGAGAAGAATGTGTATTTTTGTTAGAGTGTTTTATGTATGTCTGTTATTAGGTATGTATATGTTTATAATTGTTTTATCTTCTTGCTATATGAACATTTTATGAAAATAATATCCTTTGTCTCTTGTAACATTTTTTATTTAAAGTCAATTTTTTCTGATATTAGTATAGTTACCCTTTGCATGGAATAACCTTTTCCATTCCTTTGCTTTCAAATCTGTTTGTGTCTTTGGATCTAAAATCAGTCTCTTGTAGACAACATATAGTTGGATCATGTTTTCTTTTTATTCATTCCACCAATCTTCGTCTTTTGATTGGAGAATTTAATCCATTTCATTTAAAGTGATTATTGATAAAGAGGGACTTCCGTCATTTTGCTACTTGTTTTCTATTTGCCTTAAAGCTTTTTTGTCCCTCATCTCCTGCATTTATTGTCTTCTTTTATGTTTAATTAATTTTTTTGTAGTGAAACATTTAAATTCCTTTCTCATTACCTATTGTGTATATTCTTTAGCTATGTTCTTTGTAGTTACAGTGGGAATTACATCTAACATCCTAAAGTTATAACACTCTAATTTGAATGTATACTAGCTTAACTTCAATAAAATATAAAAAATTATCCTCTTTTCAAAGCTCTGTTCTCACCCTTTTCAGTTGTTGATATTACAAAATTATATCTTTATAAGTGGTGTGTAATGGTTACTTTTTACTACTGAAATATGCAACAAACTGAATAAATCTCAAGAAAATTATGCTGAGTGAAAAAAGCCAATCTCAAAAGGTTACATACTGTATGATTCCATTTATGTAACATTCTTGAAATGGCAAAGTTATAGTAGCGGAAAACATAGATTACTGGCTGGCTGGGGTTATGGAGGAGATGAGAAGGTAGGGAAGTGGTGTAGCTATAATAGGACAACATGAGGGATCCGCGTGGTGATGTTCTGTATCTTGAATGTATCAGTGTATATCCTGGTTGTGATATTGTATTATACTTGGGCAAGTTGTTACAATTGGGGGAAACTGAGTAATGAGTAAACTGGGTCTCTCTGCATTATTCCTTACAACTGCATGTGAACCTATAATTATCTCAATGTAAAAAGTTTAATTTAAAAATACCTGAAACTAATATGATTAAATGTTATTATTAATTTTGTAATCATTTGTTAATCTGAATAGTGGTTACATCAGCAGTAATAGTATGTAGTTATCACAGCACTAAGAAAAACACAACCAGCAGTTTATAGAAGAAAACAAGTGACCATCAAAAGATGTTCAGTTTCTGAGGAGGGGTAAAAATTATAACAGTGAAAAACAAATGTTCATCCTCTGATTTTGCAAAGATTAAAACGATTGGAAACATTTCACCAGGGTGTGGTAAACACTCCAACACACTGCTGGTGGGACTGTAAATTGTTACAAAATTTTTGGGAAGGCGATTTTGTGATCTCTAATCAACAAGAATTTTTATTGCACTAGTTTTTGTAAGAGCAAATAATTAGGGGGAAATAGTAAGCACTTTCATCAAAAGAATGGTTAAAAAAATAAGATACATTCATATAATAGAGTATTGTTACTGTTCAGAAAAATGACTTCCTGATTATGGGAAATGTGAACACATTCCCATTAAACTTCCCTCCTTAGGGCCAAATGCAACAAGAGAATCCAAAGTAGAGAGAAAACTCCAACTTCTATGAAAACTTGAGGTAGCACAATAATAAACTAACTGAAGAAGCGCTGCCAAAATACACTGAAATTTGGGTAAAATTCAGGAAGGACATGCAGGGCAGACCTAGACCTCTGCTGATCTCACATTTAGTGCAAATCTCTTCAAAACGAGGCGGCTCCGCCCCAAGAATCCCAGTAGCCCTTAACCTGCGCCAGATGCCAGTCGGGCGACGAGCCCATCACAGCCGGGAGACTGCAGCAAAGCCCGTGTAGAGGAGTATGCAATGGTGACGGTGGGGTGCCTGGGACCATACACGCCAGATTTTAGCGTGATATAGGCTGGGGGGCAACGGGAGGGAGGGAAGAGGGGAGTGGTAAAGGAAGTAATAAAGGAAGACCATGGCTTTTCTTTTTTTTCTTTCGAAAAAAATTTTGAAGATAAATTCGAGCATTGTTTGTGTCATTTATTTTTTTCAAAGTTAAATTCTTAACAGAAGCCAACCCAGAATGGCGGATGCTATGCCGAGGGAAGTCAAGGATCCTAGGTTTGAATCATGTCTCCGCTCACAAATTGTTCAGCGACCTCAAACTTTCATCATCTGTAACAAACTAATTAGCACCGGTCGGCGGCCTGCGACGAGGGTCAACCAAAAGAACTGTTAAACTTTGGGGCCCCGGGTTGAAGCCGCGCCCCAATCAGGTACCGCCGCGCCACGCCACGCCATGGGGCATCCGGGGTCTTGTAGCACCCACTTGCAGTATCCACACCCACATCCCGCAGCGGAACTCGCTGTCCCGGCAGGCCCCGCGGCGGCGGCAAGGCTACGTGGCGCGGTTGGCTGCGGCTGCGCGGGCTAGTAGGGCAAGATGGCTGCAGAGCAGGTTGTTCGGGTCGTCGGCCCCTGGTCCGGAGCGGGGCTGGATCGGTTGGTTCGGGCTCTTCTGCTGCTTCTGTGGTTTGCGGCCCGCGGAGGCGCTCTCTACTTTCACATCGGGGAGACTGAGAAGAAGTGCTTTATTGAGGAGATTCCGGACGAGACTATGGTTATAGGTGCGGGGGGAGGGGGAGAGTTGGGAAGAAGACCGCGGTCTTGGGGCGCGGGGTGCGGGAGAATCAGTAGCGCTGCAGAGCCGGGAGCAGCTGGCCTCGCCCTCTCTTGGCGGCCGCGAACCCGGAGCCACTTGGCGCTCCTCTGACCTGGGCTTGTCTCACTTCCCTCCAGGAAACTACCGGACGCAGCTGTATGACAAGCAGCGGGAGGAATATCAGCCGGCCACCCCCGGGCTTGGCATGTTCGTGGAGGTGAAGGACCCAGAAGACAAGGTGAGTCAACCCCTTAGCCCCGCTGAGCCCTCCGCTCTGTACTTCAGCGCCAGACCAATCAAACGCTGGTACTTCCCCTCCTAGTTTCCACATTTGCTAAATTGCTAACAAACAAACAAACAAACAAACCCCCCCAAAACAGTTGGTGTTGTGGGAAGATCCCAGGAGTTCACTCTAGGCCTAACTTAGGCTGTTGCAGTGTTGGCTGCTCCTCTCAACTTATTACTGACTGCCGCATGACTTCGCCAAATCAGTTACCTTCTCTGAGCTATTTTCTTGGTCATCTATTTTACAGGTGTGATGGGTGGATTAAAAAGAATTGTGCCAGTTCTAAAGCTGTGACATCTAGAGTAGGATTTCAGAGCAAGATGCTTTCTAAAAAGAAAGAGCAGCTTTAAATTTTGACAAATAAGGATATTAGAACCAAAAAACCCCCAAACCCTTATGCTGTCACCTTTCACTTTAAAAAGGAATTACACAAAAATAATGGAAAGGGCATGGGCTGTGAATAAAGGAAAACTCGCCCCACAAGCGGTCACGTGCCAACCTAATGTCAGACTCTGCACCCCTGTTCCAGATAGTTCTCAGACAAGCTTTTGGCAACTGCTGCTGAGTGGCTTTGGACCTTTTAGTGTTGTGGAATGCCTAAGGTTCTTTTTGTCAACTTAGAGGCACTTAGAGCCTCTAGCCCTGTCTCCACCATAACGCTCACTGAAGCCCCTTCTCTCCAGGTCATCCTGGCCCGACAGTATGGCTCTGAGGGCAGGTTTACTTTCACATCCCATACCCCTGGCGAGCACCAGATCTGTCTTCACTCCAATTCCACCAAGTTCTCCCTTTTTGCTGGAGGCATGCTGGTAAGTGGACTCATGTGGGACTCATAGCTTTTAGCCTCTAGTGCCTGGTCAGAACTGGGGACTGGTGGTACTGTGGGTTTACGGTGAGTATGTTGGATTTGTGTCTCCTAATAAGACTGGGTTTTCAGTAAACATCCGTGGCATGGTTGCTGAGCTCTTTGTACATACCTTGGTCAGAGCATCAGCCAGGGCTTACTCTTTCCTGTGTGCTGAGAGCCCTACAGGGCTGGACACTGAGGAAGCCTCATCGCTGTTTGCTAAACAAACAAATGAAGGAAGATGGGGGGACCAGCTGTCAGTCCTTGGCAGGAAGACTGAGCAAGGCTGCCTGATTCCCTCTGTACTCCTTATCTTTTCCCAGAGAGTTCATTTGGACATCCAGGTGGGTGAACATGCCAATGATTATGCAGAAATTGCTGCCAAAGACAAGTTAAGTGAGTTGCAGCTACGAGTGCGACAGCTGGTGGAGCAAGTGGAGCAGATCCAGAAAGAGCAGAACTACCAGCGGGTGAGTGGTAAGGTCAGGAGCAGTGGGCTTCTTCCCAGAAGCTGCCCACTGGCTCAGCCGGGAGTTGTGTGTCAGATTCATTATGAACCCAAAGACATATCTGTTTGTGCTACTTTGCAAGTCTAAAAGGTGGGATGGCTATTACTAACTTTACTTTGTGATTAAGGAGATAGTCTCTTAAGAGGCTGGTATTGCCCTAAGTCACACAGTTAAACAAAGTGACAGCAGGAA